AAAGTCCACATTTTCTTTATCTATTCATTAATTGATGGGCATTTGGGTTGTTTCTAAGATTTAGCTATAACAAATTGTGCTGCTATAAACATGGATATACATATTGTGCTGTGGTATGATGTTTCTATTTCTTCTGGGAAGATATCCAGGGTAAGCTCTAACCCTAGTCTTTTAAGGAACTTGCACACTGATTTCCATTGAGGTTGTACCAGCCTAAGCTCCCACCAACAGTGGAGGAAGATTCTTTTTTTTCCCCACAGACCCTCTAGCATTTGCTACTTGTTGACTTCTTGATAATAGGTATTATTTCTTGTTTTCACTTGCATCTTGAAATCAGTAATATTGAACGTTTTCTTTTCTTTTTTTTTCTTTCTTCTTTCTTTGCAGTACCAGGGATTGAACTCAGGACCCTGTGCTTCCCAGGCAAGTGCTTATTCTACTGAGCTGTCTCCCTGGCCCCTGAACATTTGCAATATATTTATTTTCTATTTGTATTTCTTCATCTGATGTATTCATCTCAAATGTCCATTTATAGATTGTGTCTTTGAATTTGAGAAGCCTGATTTTTTTGAGTTCTTCGTATGTTCTTGATAGTAATCCTTTGTCTGAAGAACAGCTGGCAAAAAATTTCTCCCCACATTGTTTGCACATTGTCTTCACTCTGTTACCCATTTCTCTCGCTGTGCAAAAGATTTTAATAAGATGAGACTCCAGTTTTTGATTCTTTGTGATAGTTACAATTGTGGTTTTATTCATAAAGTCTTTTCCTACACCAATGTCTTCAAGAGTTTTACCCATTCTATCTTTCAGCAGATTTAATGTTTCTGTTTTAATATTTAAGTCTTGGATCCATTTGAATTTAGTTTAGTGCATGGTGAAAGATTATGGGGTCCAAATTTAACCTTCAGCATGCACAAAGCCAGTTTTTCCAAAACCATTTGTTAAACCTTTCTTCCAGTCAATGTATTTGGCGTTTTTTTCATGGCTGGCTCAGCCCACCCTGGGGTTGGGGTTGTTATGGCATGTGGTGCCTGTGATTAAACTGTGGCCCACTGTGTACTAGCCTTAGCTTGCCTAAGCAGGTGCTTTAGACCACTGAACTCTCTCACTGGCCCTTTGTTTGGCACTTATCAAAAATAAGGTGAGTGAGTATGTTTGGAGTTGTTTCTGCATCTTCTAATATATCCCGTTGATCTTCTGGTCTTTGTTTTTTTTGCCAGTACTATGCTATTTTTATTACTGTGTTAGCTTTATAGTACAATTTCAGATTGGGGATTGTGATGCTTCCTGCCTTGCATTTGTTACCCAGAATTGCTTTTTCTGTCCTAGGTCTCTTCTGGGAACCTCTATCTCTTAGAATCAAGATTAGCATGTAGGTTCCCATGTGTGAGTTCTACTTTTTAGATTCCACTAAAGCTACTTTGCAATCATTTTATGTTGAAGGGAGAGCAATTTTCAGTTTTTATGTCTTTTATTCACTGGTACAAAACTTAATGAAAATTTTAGCAGGTGATGATTATTCCCTTAGTGAAAAAAATAGATACATGAAAAATATCCAGGGTTTGAACTTGAGCATCAACTTCATGTCTGTGGTTTAACCAGCTACTACAAACAGTATACTGTCAACATTTCTGGGTCATTTCAGAACATCATCATAAATGTATTTATTTCCATGCCTTCATGTTCAATAAGATAGGCATATATGGGTAAGTTTTTGAGAAAAACCTGTTCAGGTCCTGGATTAGAGGCTCATGCTTCAGAGTTCCACAGAGCTCAAAGATTCTGGTATCACAAAGAGTGCAGTGCACAGGGTTTGGCTGTAGGGCTTCTCTTTCTCTCTCTGAGAAAAATGCAGTTTTCTACAAAATAGAAGTCAAAACTTCAGCTTTCTTGTTGTTCCCATCAGTGCATGTGCTGAACAATTCTTCCCTCCTATCCAGGCTGCCCTCAAGGGAAGAGTGTAATAAAGAATTAATAAGAAGCGTATGTGCTCTGTTTATTATTTCTTCTATTCAAGAGGTGGAGGGAGACATAACTCTCTAGGTATCTGAGTCACATAATATATGCAGGTATTATGTTGACAATTTCTTCATGAAAAGAAATATAAAGTAGACACTGCTCCCCCTTTTTAGAGTGCTGCTGAATATAATGCTCTTCTGTGAAGTGACTTGAACATTCTCACAGGGAAGGTGGTTTTCCGTACAGTTTCCAAAAGGCTGAGTACAAGGAAGGGTGATGTGCAGTGGTGACCCTCTGAATTCAGCCAGGAGGCAAACCACATAGTGGTGGTGTTTGAATGGAGAAAGTTGAATATAGAGATTTGTTAACTATAATAGGACTTTGGGATAAAGTGAAAAATTAATGTAAAACAAATTTTAATAAAGACTCTAAATACAGAAATAATAAATAGAATGAGCAGCTACTCTTTCTGGTACTGAGATAAAGCACCCCCAAAAGGTCCCCTTTGAGAGTTGCCACACAAGTCTTGTTGGAGAAGACACATTTGCATCACTAGAGGGCAAAGAAATCATGGGGTGCTGCACAGGTTCTGCAAAATCTGAATCTAGGGTTCCAAGAAAAGTGATTTATGAGGCAGCATCTCCCTGGAGGTGCCTTACTCTTGCTTTGGTATTATTTTGCTCTACTTTTGCAAGTTTCTTAAATTACAGCTTTAACTAATGGACTTGAAGTTTTTCTCCATTTCTAATATTAGCATTTAGTGCTATGAATTTTCATTGGAACACTGCTTTAGGTAACATTACATATTTTGGTATGTTGCTTTCATTTAATTTAAAGCTCTAATTTCATTTGTAATTTTCTTTTTTTCATTTTTTTTGTTTTGTTTTGTTTTTGTATTTTAGGGAAGGGTCTACAGGATGTTCAGGGTCTCACTACTAGATCGCACTCGGAGTGATCCCCCTGTTTACTGACTCCCAAGAGCTGCGATTACAGGTGTGTGCCAGCACATCCAGTCTCAATCACCATCTCAGTGCACACTGGGGGCTGGGCCAGCGCAGCAGGCCCAGGGATCAAAACCCCAGCCCCTGAGCCTGCTTTCATTTGTAATTTTCTCTGACTCATGGTTTAAAAATGTATTGTTTCTTTGTGCTTTGAGACTTTGCCAAGTATATTTCTGTCCTTGAATTTCAGCTTGCTTAATTATGACAGGAGTATACCTCACATTATAATTCTCCTGTTTGTTAGGGCTTAGGGCCCAGGATATAGTACTGCGTGGTGAATAGGGAAATGTACATGGTTTAAATATTCTATACTGAGAGTGAGATGGAATTGGTTGATAATTTTGTTTGGATTTTATTTTTTTATTATTTTATTTTATTATTTTTGTCAGAACTTGGGATTGAACTCAGGACCTTGTGCTTGCCAGGCAAGTGTTTATTTTACTGAGCTATCTCCCCAGCTCCTGGATTTTATCGACTTCCTATATAATTTTCATTTTATGGCTCAGAATACAGTTTACCTAGGTGAATATAATTTTGTACTTGAATTAAGTATTCCATATATATTGTCAGCCACATGAAATTGGTTTTTATAATTTTTGGATTTTTTTTCCTTAACAATGTCCTATCCATTTCCATTTTATTATATTTTTCTATATTAATATATTTTTTCTATCAAGAAATACATGTTACATTCTCTATAATTATGGACTTGTCTATTTTGTCAGTGTTGCTTAATTTATTTAAAGCTATGTTGTTTTATATATATATACACACACACACACACACACACATACATATACATGTACATACAGATATACGTATACACAAAATTTTATTATTTTATATGTTTTTGTTAAATTGATTCTTTAAACATAAATGATTATTTCTTTTTTTAAATTAATTTTTTTTTCTATCTACCTATTTGGCACAGGGTCTCACTGTGTAGCTCAGATTAGCAGTGATTCTACTGTCTCAGCCTCCCCAGCACTAGGATCACAGATGTGCACAGTCATGCCCAGTTTTGGTGGCCAGCTGGAATGAGGCTGACATAGCATGCAGTACCAGAGATTGAACCTGGGTCCTTGAGCTTGCAAGGCAGGTGCTTAGGGTGTTGAGCTGTCTCCCTGGCCCCAGTAATGATCTTGTCTTTGGCCTAATTTGCTTAATATTATTATAGTCATTCTAGTTATTTCCAGGATATATATTTTTGTCCTTTTACTTTTAACCTCTGTATATCATCTATATAAAATGCTTTCTTTTATACAATTTGACCATTTCTTTAAATTGGTATGTTTACACTGTTTGTAATTCATACAATTGCTGATACACATACATTAAAATATATCATCTTTTAGTTGTCTAGATGTGTCCTGTTTCTTCTATGTGTTGTATTCCTCCTCGACTTTTAACCTTATGGTTTGAGGACTTTTTATGATTTCATAATCGTTATGGGTCACGCAGCACAGGAACAAGATCAGCCAGATAGGAATTTGAATATGGAGCCTTTATTACTGAGCTCAGGGTCCTCAGCCATCTCTCACACAGGAGGGGACTGAGTGACAACTGAATGTAGGTAACAGGGAGTATTTGTAACAGAAATCACATCCAGTTCAGTAAGTGAATTTGTTATCTGTTTGAAAACTACATTTATTTGACACAGCTACAAACTGTTTGTAACTAAGGGATCTTTTGTAGTTTAGCAATAAGTGCATATTTTTACAAGATATATCATAAGCTGACTATGTTTATAGGAGATGGTTAGGGAGGGAGTTTGCTTTAGCTAGTTGCCTTGACAAGAAACAGTTATTTCTTGTTCAACAGCCTTGAGCAAAGAATGATAACAGGAAGCACAAGGCTTTTTTAAAAATAGTTTTCACAGTTAAAGCACAAAATTCAGTTAACCCATTAGAATAATTAGCTGATAAGCCTTTAAAATGATAGCTTACAAGTTCGATCTATAGCGGGAGTGGAGAGAGGACCCCAGAAAGCCCTGAACAGCTCCCCCCACCCCTCAGTGCCGCACACACCGATCCCGGCACCATGGGCAGCGGCGCAGGGAGCGGCGGCCCAGGTGGCCTCACATGGGTCGTGCCTGCCGGCGGGGACAATAAGGTCATCTCAATGAAGGTTTTGGGAACAGTAAAATGGTTTAATATAAGAAACGGATATGGCTTCATCAACAGGCATGACACCAAGGAAGATGTATTTGTACACCAGACTGCCATAAAGAAGAATAACCCTAGCCCAGGTCCGGTGAGTGT